GCCACAAGAGGTATAGAGACAGATTTACATTCTTTCAATCCAAACTTATCCAACAGGGAAGAGGCATACTTCTTTTGATGAATGAAGATGCTAGATTCTGTTTGAATTACCCTAATTCCCAGAAAATGGTGAAGAAGACCCAAGTCTGACATCTCATACTTCTCCTTCATATCTTCTTTGAACTCATCCAGCATGTCTTGATTGTTTCCAGTATACACAATATCATCCACATATATGGAGACTATTAGTATATCCTTTTCTCCCCTTGTCTTAGTGTAGAGAGTTGCTTCACTTAAGCTTTTCTCAAATCCACACTTAGTAAAATAGCTGTCAATCTCTCCATACCAGGTCCTAGGCGCCTGTTTCAAGCCATAAAGAGCCTTGTGCAATTTGTAAACTTTGTCTTCCTTACCATTAATCACAAACCCTTCAGGTTGATCAACATATACTTCTTCCTGCAATATTCCATTTAAGAAAGCAGACTTAACATCTAATTGAAATATCTTCCAGCTTCTGTGTGCAGCAAGTGCAATCAGTGTTCTGATGGTGTCCAATCTGGCAACTGGAGCAAAAGTCTCATTGTAATCGAGTCCTGGTTTCTGCACATATCCTTTAGCAACTAGTCTTGCCTTGTTCTTTTGTACCGAGCCATCCAAATTCAGTTTGGTTTTGAACACCCATTTCACACCGATAACCTGTTTATCACTTGGTCTGTCTACAAGTTTCCAAGTCTCATTTTTCTCAATCATGGATAGTTCTTCTTTCATAGCTTTTATCCAAGCTTCATCTTGTGCAGCTTCCTCATACTTCTCTGGCTCCACAATACAAAGGTTGCATTGTGCTAGGATATCACTGATATTTCTCCATTTAACTGGTGTATGATCATAAGGACTAGTGATCTCAACAGTTTCAGAGACATCTCTATCTTGTTCTTCCATTTGATTACTATTTTCTACTTCTGTCACTTCTTGTATACTGAAATCACTCACAGTCCTATACTGATCTTGAATATCAGTTATTGCAATAGACTTCTCTGAATTCTGCTTCCAATTCCAAGATATAGTTTCATCAAAGACCACATCCCTTGATAGGATTAACTTCCTTGAACATGGATCAAATACTCTGTACCCTTTCTCACAAGTTGCATAACCACAAAACACACCTTTGACAGACTTTACATCAAGCTTTTGTCTTCTTTCTGCTGGTATATGAACATAACAGAGTGATCCAAACACCTTTAAGTGACCAATTCCTGGTTTTCTCCCACTGTAGGCTTCAAAAGGAGTCATATTATCAAGAGCTTTTGTAGGTGATCTGTTTAGAATATAAACAGCTGTATGTACAGCTTCTGCCCACAGAAAGTATGGCATGCTTTTATCATGAAGCATTGCCTTAGCCATCTCTACAACTGTTCTATTCTTTCTCTCCACTACTCCATTTTGCTGTGGAGTATAAGCAATGGATAACTGTCTTTGTATGCCTTCAGATTCCAACAACTTGCTGAATTCGGTTGAGAGAAATTCTCCCCCCTGTCACTCCTTAGGCATTTCACTTTAAATTCACATTGTAACTCCACCATTGCTTTGAACTTTCTGAAACAGATTAGTGCCTCAGACTTATGTCTTAGGAAATAAACCCATGACATTCTTGTGTGATCATCAATAAACAACATGAAATATTTGTTTCCAGCAATAGATTCAGTGTTCATGGGACCACACAAATCTGTGTGTATCAATTCTAGAGGATTCTTAGCTCTCCAAGCTTGTCCTTTTGGAAACCAGTTTCTGTGTTGTTTTCCCATTTGACAACCTACACACACACCATCAACATCTTCAAGGTGTGGAAGACCATGCACCATTTCTTTTTCTCTAAGCTGCTTGAGGCTTCTAAGATTTAGGTGTCCTAGTCTCTTGTGCCAAGTCCAGGTACATTCAGTTACACTAGCCTTCAATGCAACTTGATCAGTTTGCATTAAAGACAAAGGGTAGCACCTATTACTTTTCATCTTAACCTTGATAACCAGACAATCAAGTGAAGGACCATCAAATATGCAACACTCTCTTCCACCAAAAAGCAAATAATATCCATGTTCGTCCATATGTCCCACACTCAACAGATTTTCCTTCAAACCAGGTAGAAACATGACTTCCTTGATGCATTTACTACCAGAATTTGTATCAATCACAAGTGAACCTATTCCAGCAACATCTACCAGATTTCCAGTGGGCATTTGTACTTTTCCAGTGACATTCGTTCTTACATCCATAAGTAGCTCAACATTTCCAGTCATGTGGTTGCTACAACCACTATCAATATACCAGTTTTCATTCACCTTGACTTCAGTAATTGCACTGTTAGCATAAAACAGATTGCCTGTCACTTCTGCTTGATTAGCACAGTTTGCCTTCTGAATAACCTTGCTTGCTGTGCATTCTCTAGCCCAATGCCCGAACCTATCACAGTTGTGACATTTGGATTGCCCCTTGTATCGACATTCTCCAAAGTGAAACTTAGAGCACACTTTACACTGTGGTTTAACTGTATCTTGCTTCATGAATCCTGAAGAAGATGAATTTTGTGCAGAATTAGTAAATGATCTCTGTTGGAACTTAGGCTTAGACTCCCATTCATTGCCTTTAGAATTCCAATTTTTCTGGAATTTTGATGAACCAGATTGAGCTTCATTTCTAGTTTGCCCCTTTGGACTTACTGAGAATGATGCAAAAGCCTTCTCAGTGGTATCAACATTATGCAAGTCAAACCGTTGTTCTTGACTCTTCAAAATTGCAACAACTTCTTGCAGTTCTACAGTCTCAAGACACTTTGTGTTTTCTATAACTAAACAGATGGAATCATAAGGTTTACTTAGACTAATCAGAACCTTCTGCACAAGTCTTTCATTAGAAAGAGATTCACCAAATGTTCTCATCTGATTAATTAAATCATTCAATCTTGTGAGATAACTAGATAGGGATTCATCATCTCGCATTCTAGCATACTCAAATTCTCTTCTAAGATTCTGAAGTTTTACAGATCTAACCTGATCACCACCATGATATTCTCCATACAGTAGATCCCATGCCATCTTGGCTGATTCAGCATTGGCAATCCGAGGAAATATTTGATCCGAGACCGCATTCTGGATAATACCCAGAGCTTTTGCATCTTGCATATATGCTGCGACCATTTTCTCATCGTCTTCTTCTTCCTCTGAGCTTCCTTCAACCTTCTTCTTCTTTGTTTCTGAGATCGTAATCCCCTTTTCAACTAATTTCCATAGCCCGTGAGATTTGAAGATCGTCACCATCTTGATTCTCCAGAACTCGTAGTTCTCACCGGAGAAGATCGGAGTTCTCACCTCAGAACTTCCAGATCCAGCCATTTCTTAGCTTAGACGAGACGAACAAAAAATCGAAATCGGATTCTATGGAATTTCGGCGACTTCGCCTGAACCGGAACGAGCTCGAGTGTAGCTCGATTGCTTCACAGTTTACTCCCAGATCTCAAATGATCGAACAAGGCTCTGAGGCCATGTTAGAGCTCGAGTGATTAGCTATGTTTCTATGGAAGTAAGGAATCTGAAAAGTTAGAGAGAAATGCAATACGAAGGAATGCTCTGTTCTTCCTCTCAAAGTCTGAGAGTGATGTTTCATATATCTCTCTATATAATACACGCACAAAGGCATGTGTACATAACAACTAGCCTTAGCTGGATATCCACAACCAACACTACAATCTCAGCCTTACACTTGTCATAATCTAAGACTAAGTGAATACACAATTAGAAACAAGGCTTATTTACTTTAACTCTACTTAGCTCACACAGCTTATACACTAATACCGGGCTCGTTTTACGGCAGATTGTTTCCGGCAAAGAGTTTACATTTCGTGCACTCCTCTTCTAGTCTTCATTGGCTATCTCAGGTCCCTCCTGGCCTGGATTGCCAGGCAACTGGCAGAGCGTTTAACAGAGGAAAGATGTACATTTCTAAGACCAGCCCTCAATGCGTTTTGGATGCATATTCACTTCAATTTCACAAGGACTTTTTGCTATTTCTCAAGTCCCGGGCTGAAGAAATAGTTGGCGGAGGACGAATGGTGCTGTCACTCCTGGGCAGGTCGTCCGCTGACCCATCAACTCAAGAGAGTTGCTACGTGCAGTGGGAACTCCTAGCTCATGCATTAATGAGAATGGTTTCAGAGGTACCTACATAGATAAATATGCAATATTTAGTTTTAAGTTTTTTCTCTTCATCTCATGATTTGGTTTACAAAATTTGATTTAAAAATTTGGGATATGCAATGCTATAGGGTCTCATTGAAGAGGAAAGGGTTGATTCCTTCAACGCTCCGTTCTATGCCCCAAGTGAAGAGGAACTAAAATTGGTGTTACAAAATGAAGGATCATTTACAATGGACCGCCTTGAAGCCTTTGAAATTGATTGGGATGGTGGTGCAGAAATAACCGCTGTAGTCAGTGGGCAGCGAATGGCCAAGACCATAAGAGCTGTGACCGAGTCCATGATCGAATCTCATTAAAAGATATCATGGATGATCTATTTCGTCAGTATGCCGAGCTCTTCGCGGATTACTTATCAAAATCTAAAACCAAGTTCATCAATTTGGTTTTTTCAGTCATTAGAAAGGACTGAATATTCTTATATTCATTCACAAATTAAAGACCTGGTCTCATTGTCATTTTCTTAGTTATGTTGTTGGTTTGCCTTTAAAAGGAAAAGAAATAGCGATCTGATTATTAGCTTTTGACATGATTCATGTGAACAATCTAAAATACATGTGGGATCTATTATTGCTTCTAATTAGTTGTATTCATGTGGTCAATAATTAAAGAGGCGTTTAGTAACACGATACATTTGATAACCATGTGAACGGAATCTCTACCACTTGGAGCTTTCGATGGCAGCACCATGATGGCGTTTTAGTGCCAAAAGATAGGCTTCTTGGGTGCAATTTCAATGGATGGAGTATCAACCCTCAATGGCGTTCATGCCAAAACCTTTCCACAAATCAATAATTACAAAAGATGGCGCACAAATTTGAGGGGTCAAATCGATTAAGTGAATTCTCTGGTTGTCGTTATACCTTGGGACCTTATTTCAAAATCGCATCAAACCCTGTCGGCCAAAACACCAACCCAATTTTCCTCCAATTTTTCTTCCACACCAGCAACCACTCAATGTTAACACATGTTTTATCCAACAACTTAAATTGAGTCACTAAAATCGGTTGAATTAAACCTATCTGTGACTCAAATATATGTTGAAACTCAGTGCATGTAAGTACTCGTTAAAATTCAATTTTCCTCGTACGTTGATGTCTCTCACTTATAATTCAAGAGTTCAGTTCTTTATAAAATTTTCAGACCATTCTACCTACCAAATTACTCAAAATCTGCAGAACAACACGGTAGCAGAAGAATAAACATGCCTTCCCGTTTGCCACAAGAAGCTTATTATTCTTTTGGTTGTTACGACGTGGTAATAGTATTAGGTGCCTTGTCATGTCTGCTTTATCAAATTATCAAGTCAGGGAACTGCTCAAATCACGATATATCAACGGCTGAAATTCCTCCAGGCAGCCGAGGATTACCATTCATTGGAGAAACCCTAAAGTTCATGGCTTCCATTAACAGTGGCAAAGGGTTTTACGAGTTTGTCCGTCTTCGCCGTCTCCGGTAATACCTCTCTCTTTGAGTGCATGATCTACCCTTTACTCTATAATTTCTTCTGTTAACGAACGGGCCAACGGTCCACACTAATTATATTGTTCTCCAATTTGTAACTCGCCACTTGTACTGTGTGAGGTTCATCACAAAAAGTTTTAGTACAAATGTAATTCTAAGTGAAACCGCTCAATATAATTAAGTTATATTCAATTTTATCAATTTTTCAACATGAGATTCTTGTATTCTACAACACTGTAGTTTCTGTAAGTGCAGGCATGGAAATTGCTTTAGGACCAACATATTCGGAGAGACGCATGTTTTCGTTTCGAGCACGGACTCAGCAAAGGCAGTCTTAAACAATGACTTGGGGAGATTCAGCAAGAGATACATGAAAACTATTGCTGCGCTAGTGGGAAATCAAAGCCTCCTCTGTGCTTCCCACCAACACCACAAACTAATTCGTGGGCAACTAAGCAACTTGTTTTCTACCAATTCTTTATCAGTTTTTATCAAACAGTTTGATGAACTCATTGTTGATGCTATGAGAGGGTGGGAGCATAGAAGCTGTGTGGTCATACAAGACGAAGCAGTCAAGGTGACACAAATAATGCAATTTCTTCAGAACTTTGCAATTTTTCATTTCTGTATCAAATTTCCAAACCTTTACTATAACTGTGTCACGGGCACACGCAGCTTAAATTGTCCCACATGTGAAATAACCGTATGACCTCCCTTGGAGTAATGAAGACTGAATGAATACTTTCAAGGAAATCATTTATATTCACAAGGGCCTTTCTTTAAAGCATGTGAAATTTTAAAATAAAAAATTAATTGTTTCTTGAAAAATCACTTACTAATACTTAACGTTTTCTATTATTGTTGCAAGCGTTTTGGGTTATATTAAAGTGCTTTAATTTATACATTCAGAAAGCATTTCAAAACAGATCATGGTTTGTTAGTTTTTGTGATTACTATTTGATATGGTATTTGATGTAAATTTCATTTTGGAGCAGATAACCTGCAAAGCTATGTGCAAGATGTTGATAAGCGTGGAAAGCGGATACGAACTAGAGGTGTTGCAAAAGGAGGTGGCTCATGTTTGTGAAGCAATGTTAGCATTCCCGTTGAGGCTACCTAGGACTAGGTTTTACAAAGGACTTCAGGTAAAATGCTATATTCAACTACGCGTTCGAATCCTTCCTCCCTTGGCTGAGCCACTAAGGGGCCAGAATGGTCCCTCGCCCATCCTGCTTTTTTTTCCTTACTAGTATTGTAGATGTTGGTGCTGCATATTAGTCTAATTGTTAGGATGTCAAGTGGCACCATCTAGGTTGTCCAAGTGTACAGCCAAGATGGATAGCTATCTGATAAGATTGTTAGAATTGTTGTTAGAATTGGGTGGAAGTGTAATCAGTTAGACAGTTAGGGAGACTGCTTGCACAGCAGGTGAGAGTTAGTATATAAGGAGAGAGTTGTAAGAAGAAGGTTGGTTGTTGTTTTGTTGTTAAATGTAATACTGAGGAATTGTATACAATATATGAGGAAGTAGAGTTTGGGTCTTAACATTTGGTATCAGCCAGCGTTGATCCTCTCAAGCCTTCATTGTTGTATGACGCGCCAGGCTTCGAGGAAAGCCATGGATACCCGTTTGTCAGATCTCGAAACCATGATCGAAGATCTCAGATCAGAGCTCAAAGCCGAGATCAAAGCCAGTCAAGAATTAATTTTGCTACAACTGCAATCACTTGCAGCGAAGGGCAGTGGGGGATCGTGTAGAGAATCTTCTGAGGCGACTCCGACGAATCCCAATTTTCCGGGAGGGATGAACCATAATCACAATTACAATCGCCAAGATTTGGGTTCTAATGCTGGTCGACCACCATTTTTGAGAATGGATTTCCCCAGATTTGTGGATGGTGACGATCCATTGGGGTGGGTGTATAAGTCTGAACATTACTTTGATTTCTTTGCTATCGACGACTCGAAGAAGGTGAAATTGGCATCGTTTCATATGGAGGGAGAATCTCTGCATTGGTTCCAGTGGCCAAATTGTCTCACTCAATATCCTTCATGGGGTGACTTTACGAGGGTTTTTTGTCAAGAATTTGGTCCATCGGAATTCGACGATTGTGCTGAAAATCTGGTAAACTTGAAGCAAACAGGTCTTCTCAGGGATTATATCGTGGAATTTCGAAAAATGTCAAATCGAACCACGGATATAAGTCCTGCGATCCTTAAATCTTGCTTTATTGGGAGATTGAAAGCAGAATTGCGCCATTATGTGAAACTGCTTAAGCCACAAAATGTCCTTGAAGCTGCATCTTTTGCCCAACAAGTTGATGTTAAGCTATCAGATTTAAAGGTGAAGTCTTTTCATAGAGCTCCTACATTTCAGCCTACATTTCGATCACCTACTTCATTGAATGTAATGCATCCCACAACCCTCGAAATTCGTCCCAAGAACCCTTCTGTGAGGCGATTAACCCCCGAAGAAGTTGATCACTGTCGCAAGAATGGTCTGTGTTTTCATTGCAAAGAAAAATATGGGAGGGGTCACATGTGTGAGAAGAAACAACTGCTTCTTATAGATGTTCAAGACTTTGATAATTTGGAAAAAGAAGAGAATGATATCGTTGAAACGGAGGAACCTGAGATTACTGCATGTGCCCTGTTTGGCACTCCTGCACCCCCTACCATTAATACAATGCGTGTGCAAGGATTTATCAAGAATTGTCCAATTACAATCCTCATTGATTCGGGTAGCTCTCACAACTTTATTGATCTGAGTTTGGTTAAGAGAATGAAGTATACGTTGGATACGGGCCATATATTCAATGTTAAAATTGCTGATGGTGGACGAGTAGCTACCAAAGGAGTCCTGAACCAAGTTTCTGTCAAGATTCAACAATTCGGTTGCGTAATTGATTTGTATGCTATGCCATTAGGGGGCTGCGATATCGTCCTTAGAGTACAGTGGTTGAGAACGCTTGGTCCAATTCTGTGGGATTTCGACAAGATGTACATGAAATTTTCCAAGGGTTCTCAAACATTTTACATTTCCAGTCATAGTTCTTCTTTGCACTAGATTGAGGATAATCTAGCAGCTGATGCACTATCCAGGAGTCCTGCGAGTACTGAATTGGCTGCATTGGAATTCTTAGATCCTGTTGAATGTTTGGCAATTTCATACCTTTATTCTCAATGAATGGACGAACTGCGAAGACATGTGGAGAAGGATCCTTGGATACTGCACAAAATCCTGGAGGTCTTCAACAACCCTGCAGCTACGGATATTGTGGGAAATCTCAGATATCAATTGGATAATGAGTTTTTGAAGTTCAAGCACAGAATTGTTATAAGTCCTCAAAGTTGTTGGCGAGACAAAAATTTTGGGGAACATCATTCGAGTCCTATTGCTGGCCATGAAGGCTTTCTCAAAACATACAAGCAGATCTCTAGATCTTTTTACTGGGAAGGTATGAAGAAATACATTAAAGACATGGTGTCTAGTTGCTCCATTTGTCAACAGAACAAGTATGAGACAATTTCACCTCCTGGATTACTCCAACCACTTCCTATTCCTACTAAAATTTGGGCTGACATTTCTATGGATTTCATTGTGGGATTGCCTCCTTGTAAAGGGAAAACTGTAATATGGGTGGTGATTGATCGTTTATCTAAGTATGCTCACTTCTTGGCTATTGCTCATCCTTATTCTGCCACTATGATTGCTCAATTGTTTGTGGATCACATATTCAAATTGCATGGGATGCCTAATTCTATTATTAGTGATAGAGATCCGGTCTTCATGAGCAAATTTTGGAAGGAGTTCTTCACGATTCAAGGCTCTAAATTGTGTTTTAGCTCGGGCTACCATCCTCAAACAGATGGACAAACTAAGGTTCTCAATAGATGCCTTGAGACATATTTGATGTTTCTGCAGTCTACAACCAAGAAGATGGGCTATATGGTTGTCTTGGGCGGAATGGAGTTATAACACAGGATATCACACTGCTACAAAGATAACTCCATATGAAATCATTTATGGCCAGCCACCTCCACTTGTCTCATTTTATGACAGTGGCACCACTAAGGTTGCTTCAGTTGATCAAGCTTTACAAGAACGAAATCGAGTGTTAGCCGTATTGAAAGCTAATTTGCAGGCTGCCCAAAATCGGATGAAGGTTCAAAGTGATAAAAAGCGAACTGAGAGGGTTTTTGAGGTGGGAGATTGGGTGTACCTCCGGCTTGTCCCTTATCAATTCATGTCCTTATCCTCTCACTCAGTTCACAAACTGTAGCCCCGTTTTTATAGGCCTTTCGAAATTTTGGCAAAGCTGGGACCAGTGGCATATAAGTTGAAATTACCGGAGACTTCAAAACTTCATCCTGTTTTCCATGTTTCTTGTCTCAAAAAGCATCTGGGTGATCACGTGCAACCTTCTGTGCACCTATCGGTTATCACTGAATCTGGCATATTACAGGATGTCCCAACGGCTATTTTGGATAGACGACTGATGAAGAAGGGTCACACTGCTGTTTCAGAAGTACTAGTGCAGTGGCAGAATCACACCACAGAAGATGCTACGTGGGAGAACTACCATGAACTCAAATCCAAATTTCCAGATATTGTACATTTGTAAAGCTCTGTGTAATCCTTTCTCAAAATGTACGCACTGTGTTACACTTTTAAGTCCAGTTTGAAGGGGGGTATTGTTAGGATGTCAAGTGGCACCATCTAGGTTGTCCAAGTATACGGCCAAGGTGGATAGCTATCTGATAAGATTGTTAGAATTGTTGTTAGAATTGGGTGGAAGTGTAATCAGTTAGACAGTTAGGGAGACTGCTTGCACAGCAGGTGGGAGTTAGTATATAAGGAGAGAGTTGTAAGAAGAAGGTTGGTTGCTGTTTTGTTGTTAAATGTAATACTGAGGAATTGTATACAATATATGAGGAAGTAGAGTTTGGGTCTTAACACTAATACCCTTTTCAAGTGTTTTCTCAATCTAATTATTTTCCATTCCAGGCCAGCCTTATTTTTCTCTTCATCCCTCTTATAAAAGTGCAGTCTTCACTTCCCCTTCTCATTTTATCAACTTTTCTTTGGCTTTAAGTTATATTTTAAAAAAAAATTCTTGGTACTCTTTACCTCATATTTGAGTTCCTGGGTTTGTACAACATTTTTAGTTCTCTTTATTGAAATTAGGGTCTTTTAATTTTTATGCAAATTACTTCAATCTCTCATGTTTTGAGTTCAAATTTTCTATGTATGTGAGAGAGTCCCCTACACAAGAAATATTTGCTCGGGCACTGCTCTTCAGTACTCAAAAAATAAATATAAAAAAGGCCCAAAATATCTCATAATTGGGCTTTATATTTATCTTTATGGGCTTCTACGCCTAAATTTTCAAACCTAACCAGGCTCTAACTGTATGATTCAGGCTAGAAAGAAAATCATGGGAATAATTGGGGATGCAATGAGTGAAAGGAGAAAAGGGTTAGAAGTTAAGAGTGAAGATCTTTTACAGCGGCTTTTGACAGAGGATGAAAAAGCATGTGGTGAAACAGGCACTACTGCCCGGCAGCTAACAGATGAAGAGATAAAAGACAATATATTAACCATGATCATTGCAGGTCAGGATACAACAGCCAGTGCAATGACATGGATGATCAAATTCTTAGACGAGAACCCAGAAGTGCTTCCCACTCTTATGGTAAGTCAGAGTTAAAGCTTCGCTTTCTCTTATTAATTTTGTTTATAGTTGTATTATTGAATAATATGCCACTTTTTTTTGTTGATTGAAACAGAAAGAACAACTTGACTTGGCGAGAAAAACTTCTTCAAAGTCATTTCTAACACTGGAGAGCATTAACGACATGCCGTATGCTGCTAAGGTACTATTAATCAACAAAACTCACTTCACTTTTGACATTTGTGTTATTTAACAAACCTAGAAACAACTTTCTTGAAGACTTTTTTGTTCTTTTATCAATAACTATCGTCTACAAGAGACTACACATGTGGACCTCTTTAGAGTGGAGACTAATGCCAATTGATCAGATGGTCCTATGTCGGTTCTTGAAGACTCGCAACTCTTAAAAACAACATGTTTCTTGACATACTTCGTTTATTAATTGATTGAACAAATGAGTTGGGTGTGTCAATTAGGTGGCAAAAGAATCCCTAAGGTTGGCTTCTGTCGTGCCATGGTTTCCAAGACTAGCTCTCGAGGACTGCGAGATGGAAGGTTTGAGCTCTGAACAAAATATGTTTGTTTCATTTATTTTTCCTCTCTGTCTGTCTGTGTATGCAACTTGTTGATTGATTTTTGTTTCTGTGGGTGCATTAGGATTTAAGATCAAGAGAGGGTGGAATGTGAACGTTGATGCTAAATCAGTACACCTTGATCCTACGGTCTACACTGATCCCAACAAGTTCAATCCGTCTAGGTTTGACGTACGTATGCATGGATATAATTCACCTCATTCAATTAATTTCTTGTTAAAATTAAGTTAAAACATGCGTACATGATTAAAAGTTGCAACTCACTGAATTCGGCTTTGTGATAAACCGCATGCATGCATGCAGGATGAGTCAAAAGTACCATACAGCTTCTTAGCTTTTGGGATGGGAGGGAGGACATGCCTGGGGATGAACATGGCCAAGGCCATGATGCTGGTCTTTCTCCACCGCCTCACCACTACTTACAGGTCGCATCTCACTTTTTTTTCTCTTCTTTTTTGATATCGATCATTGAATTTGAGGCCAGGGTTTCAAGCTAGAATTCAGTAATTAATCAACGTGGAATGCCAAAATTCATAATTATATTGACAAATATAGATGATTATTTACAAACTCTTAACTGATGTAAAACCTTATCCAGGTGGAAGGTGATTGACGCAGACTCCAGTATTGAAAAATGGGGGCTCTTCTCAAAATTAAAAAGTGGTTGTCCGGTAACCGTGACCTGTATCGCTGAGAATTATACCCCCAGATATCAGCAATAAGATGCCTAGCTGATTCCATGTCGATTAAAATCTCAAGGTCCAGACTTTTTCTGCTTGTTGAATGTTGGGTAGTTAGCTTAACACTGTATTTAAAATTACCATTAGGAACATATTCAGCTTTAATGTATAAGAATATTCAAGATGAAGGCATCGTTTCAATATCCATATATATATATATATATATATTTCAATTCAACTTGATTCATGGAGCAAAAGCTCAACCCATTTGGAATTGGACACAGTAATAAAACCTACACCCTGACGAAAACGAAATTGGACACAGAAAAAAAAAAAAAAAAAAAACTCCTCTGAGAAGCTCTCCATCAATTCAACGCCTACTTTTTTTTTTTTTTTTTTTTCAAACGATAAAATTAGTAGGTTAAATAGTTGTTAGAGGAGAAAAAAATCGGTGAGAATCAAAATCGCATTATATATAGTGTATTGGCATAATTGTTTTCCCCCAATGCAATAACTACCAATTAAACATCTAAATTCACTCTTTATTTTCCCTATCATTTTGATCAGCTCTAAATAAACTAAGGAATCCAAGTTATTCAAAATTCAGACAATGACATTGAAAGTGATTTAACTAATTTCTCATTCAACAAGCATAACCTAATAAAACAATTCATCATTCATGTACATGATCTGTAACATTGACACTTGAAAAATCTTAGTATAAAGATTTGGCATTTGGGTTAATCCCAAATTTTAATTAGCTGGGGCCAGAATTTTGGTTTTGAGAACATGGATTTTATATCTATATATATCTTTAGGACGCATTCTTGTTCATGATGTTGACTTAGACACATATGCCTCTCCAACTTAATGCAATCTAGTGTGTGGCCTTGTAATTAAAACCCTAAATTTTCTTTTATCACCAACTTTTTTCCCCTGTTTTGACTGAAATATATGAGAGAATAATATGTATAATCCGGCTACTTCACCAAGAATTTGAGAGGATTAATTGTTTGATAAATAATAAGGAGGCTTAAATGTTGAAATGGTCCATGTGTTACACCTCTTCGGTTGATTTGGTCCTCGGATTTTCAATTTAGCCAATTTAGTCATCATGTTTCACTTAAGTTAGTCAATTTAATACTTTTCATCCAGTTACTGTTAAATTTTTTCTAAATATGTTTCGAATTGGCTAACAAATAAAAATAAAAGATAAGAAAAACAAAAGAACTCAAAAGCAAAAGAAAATTTTCAAACCTCAGCATCTCCACCATGGAGCACACCCAAGGCAACACCCAATTACCGTGAATTATCCTAGCAACCACCCACACTCCCTCTAGTAAATCTTCACCCAACGGTTCCCAAGACGACGGCGCGTCGATCACCCTTCCCCATCCGTGCCATCTTCATAACATCAATCTGCACGGAAATTTTGGATCCATTTCTCCTAATTTACCAAGTCCGGGAATCCGAGCCGTTGAAATTTGATCTAACGGTAAAGTTATTATAACTTTTAAAGTGGGCCCCTGTTTGTAGCTGTTGGATCAAATTTCAACGGCCCAGATCACCGAACTTGGTGGATTAGGAAGAAGGGATCCGGAGAGGATCCCTTTCCAATCTGCACCACTTCCCTGATCTCCCTTCTCCCATACCCCTCATGGTTATGAAGATTTTTAGATTGTTTCATATCTGAACTTTTTAATTTTTGACAAAAATCTTATCATTTTTTTAATTGGAGTTTATTTCTTTATGTAATTAGAGTTTTTAATTTTTTTAAATGAATTATTAAACGCTAAGATAACAGAATGGATTACATAACAGTGTACAATACAAAGACTAAATAGGCTAAATTTAAAACATGAGAATTAAATTGATTAAAGAGTTAAAGCAAAAAGACCATTTTGATATTTAAGCCTAATAAAAACTGGAAAAAAAAGAAGCGTAGGACACGTTTATTTATACAGAGAATATGAATTTTATTCTATAAATGAACTTTTAATTTCCATTAACCAAATTCCTTTTTCTCACATACTTGCTTTTATTTTGAGTGGTTTAGGAGACCTATTGAAACAGAAAAAAAAATGAAAGGGAGGAGAGGGAGGAGTTTGTTATTTAGTGGTGGTTGCACAAAATAATTAGAGTTTTGGTGCGGAGTTGTGGAAGGATTAGTACAACTCGTATTTGTTAGGACTTAAATCATTGAGGGGAGGCTTCTTTACAATGAAGCAGTTTCCTCTTATCCACTTGATATTTGTCTTCTGGAACAACAAAAGCCAAAATCCAAAAGCAATAAGCAGCTTTTCTCGTTTATTGTAAGGGCACGTAACAACAATTTTCCTTTCTCTTTCAAGACTTTTTAAGTTGTTTTTATTTATTCGCTGGGCACTAGGTAGCAAGTCCACCATCCAGCACCACCTACACTCGTGGTGTTATACGTTTCATATTTTTAGTAGAACATCTCCTTCAATTATTTTGTGTGGCCTCCATCCGTACAAATGGCACTAACCCTATGAATTTAACTTCGACAAGAAAAATACTCGTGGAATTAAAGTATTTTTTCTATACTACATGATTGGGATACAGGACACCTGTGTAACATATTGGACCACCCAGATCATCTCCAAAACACGATTTACATGTCTGTGGATTCATTATTTGAAGACAGCAACAAAACGTTAAATAAAACCAACATTATTGATCTGAAACGGATAATGTTTGGCTGTATAAACTTGGATAAAATATTTGATTTTATAATGTAGTTGTCTCTGTGTTTAATTTGCTGGATCAATAATATCGTTGTCCTGGGGTTTAATTATTTGCTTCTCTTCATTCCACACAGCTCAGTCACTGTGGTTCCGTCGCCGTTTTCGTATGGCAATTGACCATTGTGTAGAGTTGTCTCCCATCTTCCTCTTATGAAATTAAAAAGGGGCCATGTTGATGTGACAAATATGTGGGAGAAAGAAATAATTAGAGATTTTAGAAATATAGAAGGAAATGGAAATTGACTAACTAGCCGTCCCTTGTTGATTTGATTCTTGATGTTTAAGCATTTGTCATTACAAATTTCAAAGGGAAACTCAAACTGTTCCAATTCTATATGTATTAATAACTGATGTAGAACAAATTGCTGACTGGATTGAAGAGTAAATGGACTGATGGAAGATGAAGAGACGTAGTGAGAATTTGCAGATTTAGCGTCCGAGCTTCGATTTAATGTGATGTATGATGGATTTTGGCCGAGCTTCTGTAATAAATTATGCTGTTTTCCTTTCGTTTAAATTCCTAAGAAATTTGAGTTGTTCCAAGGTGTTGTAAATAGGTTATTTAAGTCATTGGGCACTTCGTATTGTAATCATATTTCAATCAATAATCAAACAATCCCTTTGAGATTTCTCTCATTACTGGTGAATTCCAGACTTTTAATTCTTCAAAGAGTTATGCTTGTAATTCTTTAGCTTCATGCTGTGTCATAAATACGCATGACAATTAAATAGTGTAATAGCCGATTTTGTAAACGCAATGAACTAATAAATTATAATCGCAAAAGTGTGAGTAACTTTGCAAGAGACAGACAAACAATTAGTGTGAACATAACCATGAGAGACCTAAATGGAAGACATGAGGCAATTATTCTCATCCATAGTTTAATTTATAGAATAACATGTAGCGTATATACCTATATTTCGGGCACACATGAAAATCTCTCCAATCGGAAGGGAGAAGATAATGGCACAAAGCATGCAGAAGAGTTGACTAATCAGTCTAATCCCTTAGTTTTGGTGAAGCAAAACGTATTAATCTTACATTCCAAGCATGCGGGAAAAAAAATGACAAAACCTCCCTCCTCACCACCTCATCAAGCAAATACCAACACAACACAACAGGCACAACCTGTCATCAATCCATAGGGATTTCCGAGTGCCCACTTCCCAGTTTGTTTCTTTCCTTTCTTTATTTTTATTTAAAACTATTATTTTTTCCCCCAAAATACATTATTCGCCACAAACTAAGCCAAATTTTGCTCGAGTTGCCTTAACTCTTTCGTAAAAATATATTTAAACAGAAAAATAACTTAATAATAATAATACTATCAAGTAGCATGTTCCTGATCATTACAAATAATCAACAATTCATTGTATTCTCGCCAATTAGTACTACGGTCTAGTAGTATTCTTCTTCACTTGAAAGTGAGAGGTCTTAGGTTTGATTCTCGCCAAATGCGAATTTAAACCACATTATTGCTAGCCCATTGTGAGGCTAAGTCCACTCATCTCGCCTTTATGTAGATAATAGCGTGTGTTAAAAAAAAAAACAATTCAACGTATTCTCTGGGTTAATGCTAGGAAGACTTTATAAACTACAAGATGTACACCAATAAGAAATAAATACGTTAATCAACACTTAATAATAATCCAATCATCAACTTCCATGTCATTTAGTTTTCAAAATTTAGTCTCCCTAGCATTACCCTATTCTATGTGAGTCTTCCTGACTTCTGAAATAGTGGATTGTTGTGATGAAACCACCAACTGGTTTCCTTTTTAAGAAGAGAATAAAAAACAATTCAACATATTCTCCTTAAACATATCTTTGTGTCATTTTTGGCTGATCCATGTGACGATTATATAGCAAAGAGCTTGGATTTTCAATTTTTTGCTGCGAAACCATTTTTCTGTCACGTCTCAAAACTAGGATTGTAAAAATGTAGGCACATGAGAGTACAAATGTTATTAAGTGAATATATAGAAGAGTATTATCAATTCATTGTCATGTAAACAAAACGCAAATACGTATCAACATCACCATTGACCAAAAGGAAATGGAATTTTGGAACCATTATTTTGCACTTTTCAACTTCTATCCCCTTCCCTTCAAGAAATTTTCGGTATATCGAAAATATGGTCCAGTACACTAAATGTCAGAATACAATTGGTTGAATTTTTTTTTTCAAGTTTCCAACCCATTATATTATTACACTTAGTATATCCGACCGTGTTCCCGACACACTAAAAAATCTCTCATTTCTTCCTCCTTAAGCTAGTTGTCAACAACAGTACATACACCCCAATTCAACACAACCACTATTTCACCTTTTTTAATTCATTATCATATTCATGGAGAACACATATAATCATTTGGTTTAGTTGCCTTCAGAATATTTGGTCTATCTGCATTCAACTGAAGTATCAGTTCTTTAACAAA